ACTGAGCCACCTTCCCAGCCCCGTGTGGTGGCTCTTGTGGTAGCACTTTTGCTTAGCAAGGTGGAGGCCTCAGATCCAATTGCCAGTAAGAGACACAGAGACAGAGAAAGAAGGAAGGAAAGAAAAGCCAGGCACTGGAGGCTCATGTCGGTGATCCTAGCTACTCAGGAGGCTGAGATCTGAGGATCATGGTTCGAGGCCAGCCCAAGTAGGAAAATCCGAGACTCTAATTTCCACTGAACTATTCAGAAAAAGCCAGAAGTGGTGCTATGGTTCAAGTGGTAGAATACTAGCCTTGAGCAAGACAGAGCCCAGGCCCAGGGTTCAAGCCCTAGGACTGGGAAAGAAAGAAGGAAGGAAGGAAGGAAAAGGAGGGAGGGAGGAAAAGGAAGAAAGGAAGGAAGGAAAGAAGGCAGAAAGAAAGAAAGAAAGAAAGAAAGAAAGAAAGAAAGGAAGGAAGGAGAGCCCCAGCTTGACCATAACACCCCCAAACCTTGCTCCACTCTACCCAGCCCTGGCCCACACTCCTACTTGGGCCATGGTGCCCTCTCGGATTGTTGCCCCAGGGTCTGGGGTTGATGCTGCCAGCTCCTCCCAAAGTGGGGTCCAGATGTTTCCTGGAGAAATACTAGGGTGAAAGGGAGAGGGGCTCAGAGAGGTCTGCCCCCACTGAATCCCTCTTGGGCTCACTATCAAGCTTCCCTGCTCCCCCAGGGAACTCACCGCCTAGCTAGAGCAACTCACCAGTTGACACGGACGCCATATTGGCTCTCATCCAAGGCCAAGGCTTTGGTCATGGCGGTTACAGCTCCCTGGAGAGAAAACAGCCAGGCCCCTCCCATCCTCACCTGCCAGCTAGCAGGCACCAGCGGGGCATCCAGATGACCCTGTCCTGCCCCAGCCTAGGCCTTGGTCAGCTGTTCCAGTCTGTCTTTAGGGAACAACTTAGCACAACCTGCTCTTGTCACTGGGCTATGACAGATTTGGCCTGAGGCTGAATCAGAGAGCTGGGGGTAGAACTCTCCCAGGCTGGAGTTCAAGTCTAGGCTGAGTTTCCCCCTACCCCCCACCCCCTTCCCAGGAAGGACAGGACAGGAAGGAGCCCAGGCTGGCCTACCTTGGTGGCCACATAAGGAACTGCCTGAGACTGACCAATGGCCCCAACCAAGCTGGAGATGTTGATGATGTTACCCTGGCTCTGCCGCAGGTGAGGGAGGGCAAGCTGGGGACAGTGGGGGAGAAAATGGGGGAGGGGGGTTCAGCCCCCAGGTGGGGGAGGCAGAGCTGGGAGGCCAGGGCATGATGCACCCACAAACACGCTGTCCTCCGGAGCCACGCTGCCCCCCTCCTCTTGTTCCTAGTTGTTAGGGACAACATCCAGCACTTTTCTGTGTTGCCAGTCTCTGGGTCTCAGCCCTTAGGGAGTCTGTCCTTGTGTGAACTAGGGGTGTCTCTCTTATTACCATTCCCCTGTCCCTTTCTATTTCTTTTTTTTTTGCGGGGGGGTCCGGTCGTGGGGCCTGAACTCTGGGCCTGGGCGCTGTCCCTCAGCTCTTCAGCTCAAGGCTAGC